GGCGGGGGTGGGGAGGGAAGGTCAGTTGTGTAAGATGACCAGAAAAAGCACAGTGAACAAGGGTAAGATTGTTATATAGATTGAAGTCCTGGCCTTTTGTACTGATAAAAATTTCTAGAGATTTAGAGTCATTCTGTTTTTCTAGTACAGGAAAGGGGACACTCTTACAAATAAAGATTTATCTTATAAATGTAAATGTTCCTTGCATAAGGATAACTTCTACTCAGTTTTCAGAGCTTCACGTGTGTCTGCTGTTTCTTAAAGTTAACCATCTTAAAATAATCAATATGCCAAAGAGGAATATATTGGGGTAATATATTTTGCTCACCTTCATTTATAATGACCTTCCTAATAAGTATGAGGTGATATCTCATTGTGATTTTGATTTGCATTTCCCTCATTATTAGTGACTAGAGGCCCGGTGCACAAAAATTTGTGCACTCGGGGGGGGGGGTCCCCGGCCAATCAGGGCGCTGCCCCCTGTCACTCACAGAGCAGGGCCCATCAGGGGGTTGGGGCGCTGCCCCCTGTCACTCACACACTCACAGACATCAGGGGAGTTGGGGCACCACCCCCTGTCACACACAGAGCAGGGCGGATCAGGGGGTTGGGGCGCTGCACCCTGTCACACTCAGGGCAGGGCCAATGGGGAGGTTATGGCTCTACCCTGTCACACACAGAGCAAGGCCCGTGGAGGGGGGTTGGGGCGCCACCCTCTATCACCCACAGAGCAGGGCCGATCAGGGGGTTGGGGCGCCACCACTGTCACACTCGGGGCAGGGCCGATGGAGAGGTTATGGCTCTACCATGTCACACACAGAGCAGGGCCGATCAGGGGGTTGGGGCGCCACCACTGTCACACTCGGGGCAGGGCCGATGGAGAGGTTATGGCTCTACCATGTCACACACAGAGCAGGGCCGATCAGGGGGTTGGGGCGCCACCACTGTCACACTCGGGGCAGGGCCGATGGAGAGGTTATGGCTCTACCATGTCACACACAGAGCAGGGCCGATCAGGGGGTTGGGGAGCTCTCCCCTGTCAAACACAGAGCCGCAGGGCAATCAGGGGATTGGGGAGCTCCCCCCTATCAGGCACAGAGGAGGGCTGATCAGGGGGTTGGGGTGCCTTCCCCTGTCACGAACAGAGCAGGGCGGATAGGGAGGTTGTGGCCCCGCCCCCTGTCACACACAGAGCCGCAGGGCGATCAGGGGGTTTGGGCGCTGCCCCCTGTCACACACAGAGCCACAGGGCGATCAGGGGCGTTGGGCGCTGCCCCCTGTCACACACAGAGCCACAGGGCGATCAGGGGCGTTGGGCGCTGCCCCCTGTCACACACAGAGCCACAGGGCGATCAGGGGCGTTGGGCGCTGCCCCCTGTCACACACAGAGCCACAGGGCGATCAGGGGCGTTGGGCGCTGCCCCCTGTCACACACAGAGCCACAGGGCGATCAGGGGCGTTGGGCGCTGCCCCCTGTCACACACAGAGCCACAGGGCGATCAGGGGCGTTGGGCGCTGCCCCCTGTCACACACAGAGCCACAGGGCGATCAGGGGCGTTGGGCGCTGCCCCCTGTCACACACAGAGCCACAGGGCGATCAGGGGGTTTGGGCGCTGCCCCCTGTCACGCTGATCCCGGTGCCGGGAGCCTCGCTGCTCCGCTGATCCCGGTGCTGGGAGGCATATTACCCTTTTACTATATAGAATAGAGGCCTGGTGCATGGGTAGGGGCTGGCTGGTTTGCCCTGAAGGGTGTCCTGGATCAGGGTGGGGGTCCCCACTGGGGTGCCTGGCCAGTCTGGGTGAGGGGCTGAGGGCTGTTTTCCGGCTGGCGAGTGACTAAAGCTTCCAACCGCTCCTTGTTTTCTTCTCTCTCTTTTTTTTTTATTCTGGGCCAGCTTTAGCTCTGAGGCCTCACTGCTGAAAACATGGATACAATGTTTCGGTCCTATTTTTTATGATGGACTTTGAGTGTAATTTTGCTGACAGACTTTTAATATAAGCACTACTAATTCCTGTATTTTAATTTTAACTTTTGCCAAAAAAAAAAGAAAAAATCCAAGAATTGTATAAATTTTTCTAAAGGTCACTATTAATGCTTTGGTATTCAAAATATCTCGCCATCTTGGCTGACAGTTAATTTGCATAAGGATATGCTGATTAGCCAATGGGAAGGGTAGCAGTCGTACGCTAATTACCATGTTTCTCTTTTATTAGTGTAGATGTTGAGCATCTTTTTATATATCCGTTAGCCTTTTTAATGTCATCTTTGGAGAAATTTCTATTAAAATCTTTTGCTTATGTTTTAATTAAGTTATTTTACTTTATTTGATGTTTTGCTCTTGAGTTATAAAAGTTCCTTGTACTGGTGACCCTTGAGCAAGGCAGGGGTTAGGGACTTGTCTTTCTCTGATTGGCTTATTTCACTTAGCCAAATACCTTCTAGGTCCACCCAGGCTGTCACAAAAGGTAAGATTTCCTTCTTTTTTATGACCAAGTAGTATTCCATTATGTAAGTTTACCACGTTACGGCAAATTTCCAAGCTGTGGGAAGACAGATAACCAGGCACTTGGAAGATTCAGAAAATGCGCTTTTTATTACAGGAAGCACCGGTGCTGGGTGAGATTTGCTAATATTTTGTTGAGGATTTTAGTGTCTATGTTCATCAGGGATATTGGCCTATAATTTTCTTTCTTTGTCATCTTGATCTGGTTTTGGAATTAGGACAATGCTGGCTTTGTATAATGAGCTTGGAAATCTTCCCTCTTGAATTTTTTGGAAAAGTTTGAGAAGGATCCATTCCAGAGCTTTTGTTTTTTGGGACTTTTTTTTTTTAGTTACTGCTTCAATTTCACTATCTTTAAACTATCTATTCAGAGTCTCTGATTCTTCATGATTCAGCTTTGAAGAGTGTATGTTTCTAGGAATTTATCCATTTTGTCCAGATTGGCCAATTTGTTGGCATACAGTTGTTTGTAACATTTTCTTAAAATACTTTGTATTTGTTTGGTGTCAGTTGTTACTTCTCCTCTTTCATTTCTGACTTTATTTTATTTATTTGGGTTCTCTCTCATTTTTTTTTTTTTTGATGAGTCTAGTTAAAGGCTTTTCGATCTTATTTATCTTTTCAAAGAACCAGCTTTTGGTCTCATCTTTTGTATTGTTTTTTTAGACTCTACTGTGTTTATTGTTGCTTTGATATTTATTATTTCCTTTCTTCTACTCACTTTGGGCTTTGTTTTTTTTTTCACCTTATTTCATGTTCATGTAATCTTCCATAAATTCCCTCCTTAATTCTAAATGTATAAAAGAAACTACAAACTGTCATTCCATGAGCGTTCGAGATCTCACTTCCTTGCATGTCATCAGTTTGGCTCAAATAAACTCATAAAAATTCTATACAGGTTTGGACGTCTCTTATGTTGACACATGCATTTCCCACAGAGTTGTTCAAGGTCAACTGCATATTTTGGAAATCAGTCCCTTGTCAGATATATGGTTGCAAATATTTTCTCCCATTCTGATAGGTTGCCGGTTCTCTTTGCTGTGCAAAAGCTTTAAGTTTCATGTAGTCCAACTTTTCTATTTTTATTTTGCTGCCTGTGCTTTGGTGTCCCATCCAAGAAATCATTGCCAAGACCAGTGTTATTAACCCCCGCCCCCCCCCCCCCAACACACACATTTTCTTCTAGGATTTTTTAATAGTTTCAGGTCTTACTCATAAGTCATTAGTCCTATATGAATTGACTTTCATGTATGGGGGAGGGACAAACTTTCCTCTACCTTCAAGGTTTCTGGGTGGTCTCATAGACATGAAACAGATTAGAAAGAGAAAATAACCAAATTTAATACATATTTATGTATGGGAACCCAGTATACAAGAGAGTCAGAGACCCCACTTGCAGGAGAGGTTTAGAGATAGAAAAGGGGCTTGAAATATATAAGACATTCTGAGCTGGGGGTGAGGTAATGTACATTGGGGGCTGCATGATAAAAAGAGCAGATGTTTAGTACATAAAAGTTTGCCCCGTCATGTAGGTGGGCAGGAGAGGTTATCACTGACAATCTCTTATGGGCAAGGTCTCTAATTTGAATTCTTCTAGGCAGTTAAGGATGGGGGCAGAAGTTTCTCCTGAGCCTGGGGCTAAAATTGCCTTTAGCTCAAAACAATTTGCATACCACAGAAGAACATTTTGGGGTGATTCATTCTGGACCCCACACATGTATAGTGTAAGAGGGATCAGTTTCATTGTTTTGCATGTAGATGTCCAGATTTCCAATACCATTTGTTGAAGAGACAATACTTTCCGCATTGTGTAGTCTTGGCACCATGTTAAAGATGATTTGATTACATATGCATGGGTTTGTTTCTGCTCTCTCTCTCTTGTTCCATTTATCTATATATGTCTATCATTATGCCAGTATCATTCTGTTTTGATTACTGCAGCTTTATAATATATTTTGAAATCAGATAGTATGAAGCCTTCAACTTATTTTTTCCTTCTTAAGATGTTTTGTAGCTTTGGGGTCATTTGTGGTTCCATATAAATTTTAAGATTGCTTTTTCTATTTCTGCAAAAATAGCATTGGGATTTTGATGGGGACTGTGTTGATTCTGTAGTTTTCTTTGAGCAGCATGGACATTTTAATACTATTAAGTCTTCCAATCCAAAAACACAGTGAAGTGTAGCAGACTATGGAACTCTAATAAGGATTATTTTGAT